ATATATGTGTTTTCCGATGGTCTTAGGCAACCCCTGTAAAAGGGTCGTTCGACCCCCAAAGGGGTCGCGACCCACAGGCTGAGAACCGCTGGCCTAGCGTTCCCCACAGACATGTACTTCTGTGCCGTGCTGAGAGCAGGACCCGGGGCAGAGACCGTGGGACTCGGGGCACGTTGAGCGAAGCCTCGGGTGAATCGGTAAATCCGTGAGTGAGATCGGGAAGACAGATGTGTCAGGAGAATGACAAGTGAACATCTGGAAAGCACTGGGAACGTCTGGGTGTTGGCATAATAATCAATAAATAAAATGCGTATGAACAGGGGAGGGTTGTGTGCCACCTGCACCCGAGTCTGAACCATCTTTTGAGGCGGTTTGTGTGGCTGTTGGGTATTAGCATTTCTGCGAAGGGCAGTTCTGGTGTGATCTCGGGCCCAGGTGCTGGGGCGTCACCTGGGAACGGAAATGCAGACGATTGGGTTCTGCCGTCGGTCTAGTGGCTCAGTGCGCCCTCGGTTTGAGACCGTTGTTTCCCTTCGTTCAGGAGCCGGATGTGAGCTCTGTCACCTCCACGACTGTTTCCCTTCAAGACCGTTACCAAAGCCACGGCAGGGCTTCGGCCTCACCGACTCAGACCTTCATACCAGAAAGCACGTGGGAAATAAATTGTATGTTTAGAAAGGGGATATGTTAGGAGAAAGATTTGAATTAAAAATGAATGCAGAATTCCAGTACTTACTCCACAAATTTTTATTAATCATATCACAGATGTGTGGCCAGTCCTCTCATTCAGACTTCTCTAAGCAAAGGTAGTCCTTCGGAAAGAAAGAATTCCCAGTAAGTAGGCTTGTGACAGAAGTAAATTCTATTTTTATGACTGAAACAAGTAATAAAATGAGAAAGCTAAAATAAAACACCGTGTTTGGGCTCCTCCACTCAGGTAACGACCTTTTGATGAATCAATGTGCAGGAACCAGGAGGGGTTGGGTATGTGAGGGATAAACAGCAATTATTCTCTGGCAGATCAGACTTTTCGTATTTCATAACTTCTATGGGTTGATTCACATGTTCAGTTACTGTTTGCATTCATTTCTTCTCCGCATTCATCTCTGCCCTAATTGAAAAAAATAAAATAAAAGGTGTTTATCTGTTCGGTACCGTTTTGCCGCCTGCATTAATAATTGCGATACAACGAAGTAGATCCTTTTTACATTCGCTTGTACACGTGCTCTGACGTATCTCTGCAGTGTCACCTACACTTTAGTCATTATTAGCATGAACAGACAATGACTCAATTCAGACCTAGGAGATGTTCCTGGAAAATACAGGCTCTGTGCTCCCAATCCCACCAGGCCCCTCTTGGGGTGGTATTCAAACAGTTCAAAGCTCATATTCTCTCCCCTTCGTTGAGAGTTGCAGAGAACTGGCTACTCTGATTTACACTTTAAATCAGTGACTAGGGAAAATATAACTGGTAACAACTGCATAATCCATAACAGACGGTCAGACTGTTTTAAGAGTTTTACATGAGCCCGGCTTTGAACCAGGAGGTCATGGTTCGACTCCATGGTCAGGACACATCCCCAGTGCGGGGTGTGCAGGAGGCAGCTCATCATTTCCATTTGGTTATTTTATATTTTTATTGTGGTGTTCTGGAACCAAATTTTAAATATCTCTGAGCTCCATTTTCTTCTTTTTCAAATCTGTGTAGGCAAAAGGGGTTTTTGTTGTTGTTGTTGGTTGTGTTTTGTGTGTGTGTGTGTGTGTGTGTGTGTTTTACATCTGTTAGTCACTGAAAGTCTTTAATTGCCTTTTTACTCATTTTGTTTGCACTGTCTGTGGCTCTTGTTCATGCCGTGGTTTCCTGTTTCCTGGTGTATCTGCTTTAGTTTGGTTGTGATTGGGTATTGTATCACTGGAGATTGCTTAAGGCCGAAAACAAGCTTTTTCCTTCAGGGCGGATTTGTATCTGCCTTTACCAGGTGGCTCAGGGCTCAGAACCAGTGTGGGGTATCCCCAAACTACACTCTCAGCCGGGTGAATCCCTGTGGCATTAATGCCAGAGACGAGTCAGCTGGGCTTTCGGTCCAAACCCTCAGTGGTGAACCCCGCCCTGCTGGGCCCCAGGGTTCCGGGCCGACTCTCCCTGCCATCCTCAGTGTGTGTGTGTTTATTTCTAGTTCCTCCTCCCACCTCCAGCTTCACCAAGAAAGATGTCGTATCAGGCTCCCCATCACGGGGAGGCGTCACGAAACCCCTGAAAGCAAAGCTCAGCTTTGGTTAAAAGCCCGCTGGGGTGCTGAGGGTGCTTGGGGTGTCACAGGGGTCAGGCCCCTGGGCTGGAGAGGTCCTCACTTTCTTGGTGGCTCTCTGTGTTGCTTTTAAAAATATAAAAAATATTATTCTGGATTTTAATTGTACCCACTTGCCAGTGTGTGGAAGGGGGGAAATTCTCCTTTCCCTCCTCTGGTTCTTTTGCTTCGCAAACAATCTTATCAACAGAAAATAGGTTAACACGAGTAATTCACATTTAATCTTATGCACACAGGGACCCCACACACGTAACTCAGACACCGGCATCTGGGAGAGGTTTGGAGATAGGAAGGGCAGGTATACAACATGTTCTGAGCTGGGGATGGTGTCTTGCACTTTGGGGGCTTCAAAGGGTTGCTTATTGCAACATAAGAGCAGGTAAATAAAAGCTCGCCCTGCCCTTCAGACAGGCCAAACAGGTTCTTCCTGAAACTCTTATGGGCAATGTCCCCAATTCAAGTTGCCCGTAGTTGAGGGGTAGAACCTTCTCTTGTGCCCAAGGCGAAAACTGCCTTTCGCCCAAAATTACCTGCCTGCCAGGCTCTGAAGACCTGATTGGCTGGCTTTGAAGGCGCCTCCAAGCCTGGTCCCACCTCCTCTCGCTGTGCCCTGGGGATGCAGCACAGGCTACGCCCTCTCCCTCCCCCACGCGCTGCTCAGAGCCTCAAGCAGAAATTGAACTGCACAGCAACCAAACCAGAAAAACCTCGGTATACTTCGTGAAAACATTGTTTTCAACCTTTTCTCAGCAATAGTTAGCTTTTTTGGGGGGTGGGGGGGAACTCTAAAGAGAACTTGTCACAAAAAATCGCACTGTGTTTTCATGAGGGGTCATCATCAAATCCCTGATCACCTCGGAGACCTGCACACGGAAATGGGAGCTGTACATCTGCAATCACTTTCAGGACAAATTAGTGTTTACTTATGAACTGCGCTTGTCTCCCATCTACACAACTGGCAGTAGGTATTACTGCTGGATAATTCCCAAGTATTCCCTAGTCCTCTCTGTAATAAAATGATGTAGCTTTCAACTCCGAGAAACCAGAGAATGGATTCTGAGCGAATGAATAGATTACAACTCATTTGTTGAACGAATGCGTGGCTCTGAAAAGAGCCTTTGGGGTTAGGAGTCAGGCCGCTTACTTGGAGTCTACTTGGAGCTGGTGTACTTGGTGACGGCCTTGGTGCCCTCGGACACGGCGTGCTTGGCCAGCTCGCCGGGCAGCAGCAGGCGCACGGCCGTCTGGATCTCGCGGGACGTGATGGTCGAGCGTTTTGTGTAATGCGCCAGGCGCGACGCCTCGCCCGCGATGCGCTCGAAGATGTCGTTGACGAACGAGTTCATGATGCCCATGGCCTTGGACGAGATGCCGGTGTCGGGGTGCACCTGCTTGAGCACCTTGTACACGTACACCGAGTAGCTCTCCTTGCGGCTGCGCTTGCGCTTCTTGCCGTCCTTCTTCTGCGCCTTGGTCACGGCCTTCTTGGAGCCCTTCTTCGGGGCGGGCGCCGACTTGGCGGGCTCGGGCATAACGGCAATGGGTGTTCCACTGTCGCTCACACTAGAGGAACTAATGACCCCTCTACAGTGGGGCGATTATTTATAGACGATGTATTCAAATGAGGCTAGTATGATTTCGATCCTGATTGGAGGATTCATAGGTTGTCGTCACAAATGAGCATGTAAATAAACTTTTCATTGTACCTTTTCATTGGCTATTTGATTACTTTGCTGGGCCCAATCAGATGGCTTAGACTATGTTACCCAGCGCTACCAGAGCCCTCGGCTAGCGCTGTGCTGTGTACTTCAGATCCTGCGAGACTTCCCGACAACGCACCAGCCGCAGAGTTGTGGGCGGAGGCCATCTGCCGGCTGGTGCACCTCCAGACACCGAGTGTGGGGCCCGCGCCAGCGGACACCTAGCGGCCGAGCTGATGTCCTGGACGCAGGAGCTGGCACAGTCTGCGGCTGACAAACGCAGTGGCGCGCGCCCGCGGCACTTAACCAAACCACCAGGCACTCGGCAACGTTCTGCCCGACACTGAAATCTAGCACCCCCAATTCTATCAGAGCTCTAATGTTTGGCCCTAGCCAGTGTCTTCAGTGGATAGCGCGTGGGCCTGCGGGGCACAAGCAGGAGGCAACCAATCGACGTTTTCCTCTCATTGTTTTTTTCCTCTCCCACTCTCCACCCCCTCTCCCCCCCAAAAATAAATAATCCTGTAGTATTTATTTGGGTGAATCTTCCCCTTCATAACCACCCAGACGCCCTAAGTTTAAATATGTCTTAGGAACTTGTGCGCCTGTACAGGTCGCCAAATACCCCTAGTGCTGGCAATGCCGCACTTCCGCCAGCGTCTGTGGGCCAATTTATTAAGTTACCTCGAAGGACGCAGTGTAGTTTCGGCGCCCGGATCAAATAGACAACAAAGCAGTACTAGGTCCAAAGCAACTTCCAGTCCTGCTGA